AGCACTCTTACCAGTGTCTGGATGCAGATCTTCAATGTAATTATGGGTTCATAAAATTACAAAACATAGACTGTGATGTAGTCACCCAGTGGATTTCCATGGCCAAAGACAAAACAGACTTACTGCAGCTGTGCCCTCCTGCAACTCAGTCTGACAGCCATCTCAGTGCTCCAGGGAAGGAGAAAGTAGGAATGAGAGTTCCAAGTCCTTGGAAAAGGTGAAGACTTCAGCATTTTGCACAAACCTAGTCCCTTCACAGCAGGTGAGAGAGAGCTGGGAACCACCTTCTTGAGATATGGTCTGCAAGTTGTGTGGAGCTGAGTTGGTGGGCTTTATAAGTTAGGGGTCTTTCCCATGTGCTCTGCTGGAAACAAACTTGGTTTCTCTATCAGCTTGCATCTACTATAAGATACAACCCTGTGATTTACTTCTACTCCTACATGGACTCTGCTTGGATTTACGGCTTTTGATCCCAGACTGTCTGTTATTGGATACTGCTTGTTCCTTCAACTACTACACTTCTAGTGGCATTTTGCACTTGTCATTCTGCCACTCTCTACTGGCCAGTAAATGGATATGTTGGTGGGACTACAAAATATGGATTTGGGAAGGTAGTTTAGCCATCATAGTCCAACCACTGCAATGACCCAAAAAGTGATTTATGTAGACATAGGTTGGATGTATACTTTTATGAAACACTAATAAGATTCTGACCAGGATATCTTTTTGTGCTTGCCTCATCTGCATAAGCACATTTAGGGTAGAGATATTCATTGTTCCTGCATTTTGTGCAAAAAGTAGGGAACTTGAATGGGGGAGAAAAGAATGTTTGTCTTGCTCTTATGCTGGAGGCAAGAACTCTTTGCAGGGTCTGGTGAATTCTCAGTAGGCTGCCTCAAAGAGAAATGAAACATTAGCAAAAATTCTTCACATCTCTTGACATATCCTGCATCATTTCTGCATAGTGTAAATCTACACTCATATTGTTAAATGGGGATTGTACTGCCCCACCCTTCTACTGAATACTGACATTATTCAACCAGTTGCTTATCTATGAATATTTTTGCTGTTTTCTTGATCCCAGTGAATCAAGGGGTACACTAAAGACACTAATGAGTAGTTATGCACTGTCCAAGAATGTGCAACCACATGTACAACACAGCTGTGTTAGTCTGGAATATCAGTATGCAAAAGGATTTTGAAACATCTTTGACACTAACTGTGCAAAAGATGTTGTAGCTTAAGCTTTCGTAAACTTGGTCTACTTCCTTAGATACATGGAGAGATGCTATGCATTTCTCTTCTTTCTGTCAGCACAGTGTGTGTGTCTCTTCAAGTCACCCGTTAGGGTTTTCATAGGCCAGAAATAGTCAGAGGTGTATTTGCCAGTTCTTTCTTCTGAAATATAACCTACAGCACCTGGCATTGGTTAGCAGTCTTCCATCCAAGTACTAACAAGGGCTGACCCTGTTTAGCTTCCAAAGGCTGCATCTGCATCTGCACTGCAAAAATAATCCTGTTTGACACTTCTTTAACTGTCATGGCTCAATGCTATGGAATTCTGGGAATTGTAGCTTGTTGTGGCACCAGAGCTCTCAGACAGAGAAAGCTAAATATCTAACAAACTAAAATTCCCAGAATTGCATAGCACTGAGCCATGGCAGTTAAAGAGGTATCAAGATGGATTATTTTTGCAGTGTGAATGCAGCCAAGATCAGGTGGAATCTGGTTCCTTTAGGGTATTTAGGCTTCCTCATATGGAAGGTGCTTCCGCTGGTGAATGCATCACAGCTTTATTGATGTGTTTTAAAATTGCTTCTGATGCCATTGCATTTTCGTATTATCCTTTTTTGCATATATGCGTGTTTTTAGTTGTATCTGGGTTTTCTCTCTCATCTTATTGCAAGCAACTTTGAGACGCAGTTGGGGGAAGAAAGGATGCAAATCAAATCAAGGACTGTACTTTTCACTCCTATGTTTTACAGTGCTCTTCTCCTATTTTCAATTACTTTAATAGGAAAGTTTATTTAAATGTTTTAAAACTTTTTGCTACAGTCATTCACTGATATTCTGCTCCAGTTACCTCTGCCCACCTAAACAATATCATATTGCCCAAACTCCCCACCCACCAACCCACCTTAAGAGCCAGCAGCCAGATCAGGCAAAAGAAATCCATTCAGCCTCTGATCGGTGTTCAAAGGAGGATGACATTTCCAACTCTCTCCTGCTAAGGAGTGAGGCTGCAATAAGGAATTATGACAATGTCCTGCTTCTGATTATCATAGCCTCACCTACTGCTGAGACAGAGTGAAAACATTATTTTTGTGCCTGAGTGGAAACTGAAGGTTATGGTGGGATTTACTTACAAAAAGACGTAGGAGTTTACCACACAGGATGGATCCCATGCAGAAACTGAATTTAAACTGGGGGGAAACTCACAAAAGTGGGTAGATTTTCAGACAACGTTGGGGGTTAACCCAAACAGAAAGTCGACAAAACCTGCAAAAGTGGGTAGATTTTCAGATGACGTCAGGGTTAATGAGCATTAATGCAACATTAACCCAAACAGAAACTAGACAAATCCACTCCTTTTTACTTTTGGAAAATCCCAAAAGTAAAAAGGAGTGGGCTTTGTCGACTTTCTGTTTGGGTTAATGTCACATTAATACTTATTAATGTCGTGTCTGAAAATCAACCCGCTTTTGTGGTTTTTTTCTGGGTTTTAAAATCCCATTTCTGCACAGAATTTCTGCACATTGCTACCCATGTAATAAACTCCTATGAAGTCTCAGGCCAAGAAAACCCTGTGTTAGGTTCATTTTAGGGTCGCGACAAGTCGGAAACGACTTGCAAGCATACAACAATAAACAACAGCCTTAGGCTGCATCTGCACTGCAGAAATAATCCAGTTTGATGCCACTTTGCCATGGCACAATGCTATGGAATTCTGTTTTCTCTCTCGCTCTCTGATAAAGCACTGAATGCCTGCATGATGTTAGCCCATGCATCGTAGTTGAGAATAGATTTTTCACACACAGTTATAGATGCACCCAAGCTGATTCCTGCCTCATGCAAAGTGTGAAGGCATGGAAAGAATTCTTTGTGTATGTACAATGTTTCAGTAAGTTTATGAAATCTTAATTGGGGTTTGGCAGGGTTCTACCATAGCCTTTCCTTTGGATTCCTAAATTGTAGTTTCTCAATGATCAACCACAAAGCTAGATATTTGGAGGCTGGAGGGAAACATGGCTTTAACTGCCATTGCTGAATGCTATGGAATTCAGGGAACCCACTCTGGTGCCAGAACAAATTACAATTCCCAGAATTCCACAGCATTGAGCCAAGGCAGTTATAGTGGTGTCCAACTGCATTATTTCTACATTGCCAATGCAACTGCAGTTGGTCAAGCACTTTCCACCATGAAACCACCCTGGGGTTGGAAACGACCCGTCACACCTTGCTGAGCTTGATTTGGAAAATGATAGCTAGCTCCCTATAAATAAAGGTACTCCATGAAAACACATTGCAGGCCAATTTAAAAATGCATAATTACCTACTTTGCCATGCTAATGAATGCCTCTCCCATTTTGGCAGGATGCAGAGGAAAGGCAGGCAGTGGGGGAAGAGCAAGTCTCAAAAAGGCAATGGGACAGAAGACAAGAGAAGAACCTGTCAGCTTTGACATTCAAAAATGATGCAGAGCAGGAACCATCAGTGGGGAGGAGAGGGTAAGGATGCTAATCAAAGCACCTTGGGTTTGTTTATCCTAGGGGGAAGCTGTGGATTCACTCAAGAGCCTTGTTCCTGGTAAGTAAAAGCATCTCCCCTGTCTCCCCTGTCAATTTGGAAATTGCTGCTAAACTTGGGTGCTGCGACCTCTCAGGGACTGAGGGAAGGCTCTACAACCCAGCTGCTGGGAAAGTCCCACTTTGTCTCAAGTTTGCCATCTAGTGGGTCAGCATTGAGAAGGAACTAAAAGCAAGCAACAGTGTCCTCCTAGTGCTGTGCCAAAAGCCTGGCTTTAATTCCTCAAGTTCACTTTCCCTGCAAAAAATCCTTCCATTTCCCCCCCCCCCCCGCTTCACCTTATAATGAAGGAACTTTGCAACTAGAATCCTGTGGGTAATGTATACAGGTGTGTGTGTGTGTGTTGTTTGCCTTCAAATCATTTCTGACTTATGGTGACCCTAAGGTGATTGCAAGATCAGCAGATTGGCAGTTCGAGGCCGGAATGCTGCATGATGGGGTGAGCTCCTGTCACTAGTCCCAGCTTCTGCCAAGCTAGCAGTTCAAAAGCATGCAAATGCAAGTAGATAAATAGGTACCACTTCGGTGGGAAGGCAAATACAAGTAGATAAACAGGTACCACTTCGGTGGGAAGGTAAACAGTGTTCTATGAAGTCATGCTGGTCACAGGATCACAGAGTAGTCTCTGACAATGCTGATCCTTTGGCTTAGTAATGGAGATGAGCACTATCCCCTACAGTCAGACACAACCTGACAACCTTGTCAGTGGGGAATACCTTTACCTTTTTAATGTTGCTGTGGCTCAAGTGGTTAAGATGCTGACTCTGTTGGTTTCAAGATCAGCAGGTTGGCAGTTCAATGCCTGGGTGTCGCATGATCGGATGAGCTCCTGTCACTAGTCCCAGCTTCTGTCAACCTAGCAGTTCAAAAGCATGCAAACACAAGTAGATAAATAGGTACCACTTTGGTGGGAAGGTAAACAGCATTCTATTCAGTCATGCTGGCCACAGGATCACAGAGTAGTATCTGACAATGCTGGCTATTCAGCTTAGTAACAGAGATGAGCACCACCCCTTACGATTGGACACAACTTTACAACTTTGTCAATGGGGAATACCTTTACCTTTACCTTTACTTTTAAGGTGACCCTATCATGGGGTTTTATTGCCAAGTTTCTTCAGAGGGGGGTTGCCATGGCCATTCTCTGAGGCTCAAAGAGTGGGACTTGCCCAAGGTCACCCAGTGGGTTTTCATGGCTGAGCTGGGATTTGAACCCTCCTCTCTAGAGTTACAGTCCAGCATTCAACCCGCTACACCACACTGGGTCTCTTTCACAGAGAAAACAGGTGTATACACAGGTGTAAAGTACCCGTATACTTTCAGATGCATTTTTAAAAGGCTGTTCCACAAGGGTTCTTGGTTGTCCCAAGCCATTGTATTCCCCATCACCATGGACAGATATGAGAGGTGGACAGTGAAGAAAGCGGATAAAAAGAACATCAACTCATTTGAGATTTGGTGCTGGAGAAGAGTGCTTAGAATACTGTGGATGGCAAAGGTGATAAACAAATAAACAGATCAAGCCCGTACTCTCCCTAAAGACCAAGATGATAAAACTAAATCATAGAAGTCTGGGAGAGAAAAGGATATTATACTCCCTCCTCTTCAGAAAGTTAGCTCTTCAACCCTGCATGTCTTGGCTCTGTTACACTTTACCACATGTCAACCCAGTCAGAGTCTGTTTAGGACAGGGGTGAGGAAAGTGAGGCATAGAGGTCACTTATGGCCTCCAGAACCATTCTGTGGCATCTAAGGCCTCTTGTTGTTCCTGCTGCTGTTGTTACGTGCCTTCAAGTCATTTCCAACTTATGGCTACGCTAAGGTGAAACGGTCTTGGGGTTTTGTTGGCTAGATTTGTTCAGAGGAGGTTTGCCATTGCCTTTCCCTGAGGCTGAGAGCGTATGACTTGCCCAAGGTCATCCAGTGGATTTCATGATCAAGATGGGAATTGAATCCTGGTCTCCAGAGTCATTCTACTTGCTGCCAAAAACCTTCCTGTTCAAACAGACCTGCTCCATATAATGCATGTGGCAAGTAGGACTTTTAAAGATGGATGGGCTATGTTTTAACAGTGTTTTAACCAAACTGTTGCTTAATATTATTTTAAACTTTTTTATATATAAATAATTTATTTAGCTGTACCCTTTTTGTTCACTGCTTGTAAGCCTCTTTGGATCCTGTACAAGAGAAAAGCAGGATATTAATGAATTCATTCATTCATTCATTCAATAGTTACACCTGTCTAACTGGCTGGATGCCCTGAAGTATAACATCTCTTAACTAGGCCTCCTAGAGTGAAAACTGGTGCAGGCTGCTGTACATCTAATGGTTGTGTAAAAGGAGTATTTCAGCAGCCATTGCTTGTTACCTGGTTGTATAATAAGCAACATCTGTTGAAATTCACAGCCCTGACAAGTACAGGAGCCATCAGGAGCATCAATATGGGGGTATGAGGGATGAGGACCACACCAAGTGATAGCCTGGGGTGAGGGAGCTAAACACCCACTGGGGTAGTCCCTCATAATCCATCTTTAAATAAAACCTATGCCTCCAGCCCGGGTGCCTCTGCAAAAGTGGGGGAGGATGCCCCCATTGAAGACTGTTGTCTTGTCCTCCTTTCTTTTGCCCATTCAGCCACCTGGGTCTTTCAGTGGCTGGATGAGTGTGTGAGCAAGGTGGAGGGGGCACAACTGCCCACTGCCCTGACCACCTGCCCATCCAGCCACTGATCATTCTGGCAGGTGAATGAGGTAAAGGGAGGGAAGCTGCTACCACTGCCCCACACCAGGTGACACCAGTCCTAGTGACATAATAATAATAATAATAATAATAATAATAATAATAATAATAATAATAATTTGTACCCCACCTTTTGCCATAGCAATCAAGGCGGCTTACAGCTAAAACATATAGAACTATATGTTCTATATAAAACATATATATACTGGAAGTAATCTCTATTTTTCCATCCGGCAACCCTACAGACAGTACCATATTCATTCACCAGTATTCATAGCTTAAGAGCCAGCACGGTGTAGTGGTTTGAGCTCATGTAAACTCATTGGGTGACCTTGAGCAAGTCACACTCTCTGAGCCTCAGATTATTACAATGGCAAACTACTTCTGACAAAATCATGCCAAGAAAACCCCAAGATACGTTCACGTTAGGGTTGCCATAAGTTGGAAATGGTTTGAAGGCACACAATAACAACAAGTGGTTCATGCATTGGACTGTGACCCAAGAGACCAGGGTTCAATTCTCAGCTTGGTTATGAAAACCAGTGAGTGACCGTAAGCAAGTCACATGCTCTCGGCCTCAGGGGAAGGCAACGGCATACACTCTGTGAAGAGATTTACCAAGAATACCCCATGATAAATTTGCCTTAAGGACAGCATAATTTGGAAGGAACTTGAAGGCATACAACAACAACAACAACAACAACAACAACATTTATAGCTTAACATTTACCATCAATAGTCAGGTTTCACAGCCTGAAACTGGCAAAATACAATTACAAAACATATTGTAAGTATATTTTGGGTCATGTAAAGGAAAAGATGAGATTTGAATGCCAAAAAGAGAGGGAAGAGGAACTTTTCCATCCTCCAATTTGGAGGACCATTCATCTGAATTAGTAAACAGTCATATTCCTACTTGGATGCATTTGCCTCTGCACCTAGGCCATACCAAGAGGTGGCAATTCTGCACCCTTGGCACATCACCTGAGCATTTTGGCTTCCATCACGGCCATGTTTGTTGCAAATTGTCACGATGAGCACAAGGGGAGGGGAGAAAATATTCACGGGGAACAAAAATATGCCTCCAGAACATCCTGTTCCTGAGCCATGTGGGCTCCATGCTGAGTCTCGGAAATGACTTATTTATAGGAGAATGGTTAACATGCAACAGTGTTGAATATTTTATAAACTCCAGTGCTGAATGGAGATTAATTAGGCTCCGGAATGCCAAAGCGTGGAGTTGCAGGGAAATGTAGACTACGTGGCAATGGAACGTCAGGGACTTTCTTGTAACCCTGCGTGAACCAGCCCACTTGTTGTATTCCCTACGTGGGAGCAAATGAAAATTAATAATTAATGGAGCTTTTATTAGTCTCCCTCCCTCTGACCAAAGTCAGTTTTGCTATTAATTGGCTGGGGTTTATTAGGAGCAAGCCATGGTGACTGGTGGGTCCCATGTCTGTGAGACATCAAATCTGGTGTAGATTTTAGTTTGAACTTCAATGGAGAGATGCAAGACGCTGAACCTGTGCAGGGGATAAAAGCATACCCTCCAACGTTTTGTAGATGGAAACCAGGAGGCTTGTGGCCAAACAGCATCAGAGTGTGATTGAGATGTACAAAGTTATTAATGAAAGAGAATGGAAAAGCGAGGAGAGGCTGCAGCAGTTTTCTTTTGCCTGACCCTACGGGGAAGGGTAAGATTTTGCCCCCTCTTTGCCTCCTGCTGAGTTAACTGAGTGCAAATTGCTTTTGCCCCTTGAGGTGAGGATCAAGGGGGAAAATGGAGATTATCAGATGGGGGAAAATCAAATGGAGGAAAATCAGGGAAGAAAAAGGCATACTCCTGGCAAAGTCGTGTGATCATGCTGAAGATTTTCAGATGACGTTATGCTCATCCAGGACTTAACCCATAAAAATCCAGGAATGCTTCAGCAACAAACCATTCCTGGGACTATCTCACAAAACTATAAATCTCAGAATTCCATAGCATTGATCCATGGCATTCAAAGCAATGTCAAACTGCATTAATTCTGCAGTGTAAATGCAGCCATAAAGGAAAAAGAAGGGGCATCACTGGTCACTCTCTCCTGCCCTGGTGATGCAAGGCTGAAAGGGTTTGGGGTGAGAAACTTCCTCTACCTTCAGTTCTTCCATGTGCAAGGACCGCAGTTGAGATTCAATGGTTACGTTCTTGTTCTTACCCTGTTCTCCTTTGCTGGGTTTACAAGGACAGCTGGAAGCTTCTAGGTATGACTGAATGGCCATCAACTGCATTTAGAGATATCCTTGCAATTTATGAACATTGTTGTTGTTGTTGTTGTTGTTGTTGTTGCGTGCCTTCAAATCATTTCCGACATATAGTGACCCTATCATGGGGTTTTCTTGGCAAGATTTGTTCAGAGCGGCTTGCCTTTGCCTATAATAATTTTACAGAGAAAAAAGTGGCTCATTTCACTGAAATCAAAACTTTCATTTTGTGTTTAGGTAGAACACAAAGGTGTTCATACCTACTGCCTGGTTGACAGTCCTGTATGCCATAAATGTTGTGTGTGAATGTGTCTTCAAGACCACCTGTTGACTTATGGTGACCCCATGAATTTCATAGGGTTTTCTTAGGCAAGCAATCCTCAGATGTGGTTTTGCCAGCTCTTCCTCTGAAATATAGTCTGCAAAGCACCTGGTATTCGGTGGCGGTCTCCCATTCAAGTACTAACCAGGGCTGACCCTGCCTAGCTTCCAAGATCAGACAGGATCTGGTGCTATGAATGTTCACTGTCCCTTACTGTTGTTTTGAAAACACAGCAACCCTATTTGGAAGCAGGAAAATGGGTTGATGTTACCTGCCTTGATCATCTTGATTTGAGAATAGCAAAGCAGCGTTTCCAAACCCAAAACCTCTAAATATTGTCAATAAATAATTCCAATGTTTAAGAAGGGTGTAATACAGAATATAAATAATATGACTACTAGAATGGGAGACCACAGACATGCCTGCTTCCTTCCTTCTCCTCCATCTCAGCTTAGCATAAAGTGACTCCATTAATGTTTCAGGAGGACTGGATAACTGCAAATCCATTTTTAAAGAGTCTGGAATACTTGCAAATAGCAAGGGAAGGAGGAAACAAGTAACTATATCATCTGGCAAAAGTTTTTTGGGGGGAGAGACAAACAGAAGGCTTGTTTCAAAAGAATTACGGTACTTTCCTCTCTCTTTTTCTTTTTTCTTTTTATGGGAAGCATCCAATGTTTCTGCTGCTTAATGTTCTAGTTCATGATCTGACAGAGATAATCCAGTGGAGATATCCTCCCTGACCGGCAAAGTGACCCAAGGAATGCAAACAATGCAAAAAAAAAGAGAGAAGAGTTTCAGGTGTGAATGATGTTCAATGCCTCGCTGTCTCAGATGTTAGAAATTTGAAGGAAAATGTCATTAGTGAGGCAGCATTCTTATATGAGGGGGCAATGTATTCATGTTTTTTCTCCTGCTGAGATATTACTTACCTAATGTAACTTTTTAGGTATA